TCTTTCTTGATTAATTTGTTTTATTATTTTTGTTTTCAGAGACCTTGAAAACCCAATTGGAGTTAAAATTGGCCCTTCAGCTTCTCCCGAAGAAGTTTTGTCTCTTTGTCGGATTTTAAACTCTTCAAAAACTCCCGGGAAACTTTCCCTTATTTTGAGGTAACTCTCAGCTGTACAGACACCCCACGAGCTCTCAGGTGTACAGACACCTCAACTGCTCTTTCGGTGTATGTACACCTCAAAGTATTTACTTGGTATGCAGACACCTTAGTTGTTCTTTAGGTGTATGTGCACCTCAAAGTATTTATTTGGTGTATGTACACCTCAATCATTCATTGGGTGTACAGACAGACGCCCACTTGCTCTCAGGTGTACAGACACCTCACACCTCTGTTCTTTAGGTGTATATACACCTCAGTTGTTCATTAGGTGTACAGACACCTCAGTTGTTAATCAGGTGTATAGACACCTCAATTATTCATTAGGTGTAAAGACACCTCAGTTGTTAATAAGGTGTATGTACACCTCAGTTGTTCATTAGGTGTATGTACACCTCAGCTTATTTATTTTGTGTATGTACACCTGAGTTATTAATGCGGTGTATGTACACCCCAATTATTCATGAGGTGTATGTACACCTCAGTTGCTTACTTAGCTTCATGTACACCTGAATTGTTAATGAGGTGTATGTGCACCTCAAATATTAACGGGGTGCATGTACATCTCAATTATTAATGAGGTGTATGTACACCTCAAACTATGGATTAGGTGTATGTACACCTCAATTATTAATGAGGTGCATGTACACCTCAATGGTTAATTAGGTGTATGTACACCTGAATTATTAATGTGTATGTACACCTCAATTTTTAATTAGGTGTATGTACACCTCAATTATTAATGAGGTGTATGTACACCTGAATTGTTTGTTAGCTGCACGTACACCTCACTCACTCTCAGGTGTACAGACACCTCAATTAATAATTCGCTGTATGTACACCTCAAATATTATTGAGCTGCTTGTACACCTCAATTGTTAATGAGGTGTATGTACACCTCAAGTGTCACGTACATTCAGGTGTACAGACACCCCTAAATGTTGACTCTTAAACACTCAAAAAGCCTCCTTTCGCTGCTGCAGCTGCAGCTGCTGCAGCTGCTGCTGCAGCGGCATCTGTTACAGCTGCTGCAGCTGCTGCAGCTGCATCTGCTGTTGTTGCAGCTGCTCAAGCTGCTGTTGCAGCAGCAGCTGCAACTGACGTTGCTGCTGCTGCTGCAACTGCTGGAGCTGCTGCCGCAGCAGCCACTGCTGCTGCTGCTGCAACTGCTGAAGCTGCTGCCGCAGCAGCCACTGCTGCTGCTGCTGCTGCTGCAGTGTGTATGCGGCTGCTGCGCTGCGCTGCAGGTTGGGGGCGGAGAATGTGGAGCGGTGTTTGCCGCCGCTGGTGGAAGCAGCAAATGCAGTGGGTCTTTTTGGGACTTTGCACCTCTTTTTGCTGCTGCTGCTGTTGCTGCTGCTGCTGCTGCTGCTGCTGCCGTTTCGCAGATTGAGGGCCTTTTTATGGACTGCTGCTGCTGCTGCTGCCGTTTCGCAGATTGAGGGCCTTTTTATGGACTGCTGCTGCTGCTGCTCCCGT